TGTTGGCAGGCTCAGCTACGGGCTTGGGCACATCTTCTTGAGACTGTTCGCTTTGCGGCTCGACGCCCGAGCTTATGTCGCCTTCATTCTCTAGAGATGCATCTGATTCAACATTCTTCTCCGGAAAAGATTCTTCTGTCGGCTTGGCGGCAGAGTCCGCGACCTGTGCAGGAGTCTCATCGGCTGGTGCGAGGGTTGGCTCGTCGGTCGATGCGGGGACAGCTTCTCCTTCGTGTGGTACGGGAGGCGGCACTTCAGTTGGAGCTGGAGCCTCTTCAGAAGCATTTTCAGTAGAGCCTTCAGTTAAGGGAGCTGGCTCTTCGACTTGTACAGGAGCTGGCTCTTCGACTGGAGCAGAACTGAGCTGTTCAGCTTCAGCAGTACTGGGCTCTTCGATTTGTACAGGAGTTGGCTCTTCAACCGGTGTCGCGGCTGTCTCTGACCCTTGTGCGGGCGGAGGAGCGGGCACTTCGTCTAGTGTAGCGGCTGGCTCTTCAGTGGGTGATGAAGTTGACTCTTCAATCGGTGCGGGTGCTGGCTCTTCAACCGGTACGGGAGCTGGTTCTTCGACGGGTGCGGGAGCTGGCACTTCGACGGGTGCGGGAGCTGGCTCTTCGACAGAAGCTGGCTCTTCGACAGAAGCTGGCTCTTCGACAGAAGCTGGCTCTTCGACAGAAGCTGGCTCTTCGATAGGAGTTGCTTCTTCGATAGGAGCTGGTTCTTCAACTGGTGTAGGAGCTGGTTCTTCAACTGGTGCAGGAGCTGGTTCTTCAACTGGTGCAGGAGCTGGTTCTTCAACTGGTGCAGGAGCTGGTTCTTCAGCCGGTGTAGTATCTGGCTCATCAGTTGATGTAGCTACCGTCTCTGTCCCTTCTGCAGAGGGAGGAGCAGATTCACACGAAGATTCAACTCCCTCAACCGGTCCAGGTGTAGGCACTTCGGCTGAGCTTGGGTTTGCATCTGAAGTGGGGTCCGAGGGGGTCTCTTGGACTGGAGCGGATGCTACTGCTTCTTCAACCTGCGCCGGAGCTGATTCCTCGGTTGCTGGTGGGGCTGACTCTTCAACAGCGGTTGGGACTGTGTCCTCAACGGGTGTGGGATTTACTTCATCAACACTTGTAGGAGCAGCTTCTTCGGCAGGAGCAGCTTCTTCAGCAGGAGCAGTTTCTTCGGCAGGAGCAGCTTCCTCAACAGGAGCAGGAGCAGCTTCCTCAACACTTGTAGGAGCGGATTCTTCGACACTTGTAAGAGCAGCTTCTTCACCACTTGTGGGGGCAGCTTCTTCGACGGGCGTGGGAGCGGCTTCTTCGACGGGAGTGGGAGCGGCTTCTTCGACGGGCGTGGGAGCGGCTTCTTCTACGGGGGCGGGAGTTGCGTCTTTGCTTGAAGTAGGAGCTTCTTCAGGGGTGGCCTCTATCGCAACTTCCACAGAAGAGTCGTCTTTGGACTCCGCAAGTGCATCAGCCACAGGCTCTGTCGCAGCCGGCTCGGCGTCGAGTGCCCCATCTTCAGCTTTCACTTCACCACCTTCAGATACGTCTGCGGGAGCACCGACAGAACTTTCAGCGGCTTTAGATTCAGAACTATCACCGACAATCGAACTTGGAGCGTCGCTCTTCGCATCGCCATCATCGGCATGTTTGTCTTGGGAAGTAACGGATGCGGAGCTTTTCCTACTCCCTTTTTTGCTTTTGGAGTCCTTTTTGCTTTTCTCCTCGTCTTTCTTCTTCTTGTGTTCGTCTGCTTTGCTGGATCTCTTCTTTGCTGGTGATGACGGTGCCTCCTTCTCGGCCGATTTCTTCTTGTCCTCCTTGGATGTGTTGGATGGCTTGGCCTTGTCCTTATCGTGTTTCTTCTTTACGTCCTTCTCGGCCTTTTTCTTGTCTTCCTTTGGAGCCGGAGGAGAAGGAGGTTCTCTAATGCGGATGAAACCTATAGGTTTTGGCTTTTTAGGCCCAGTTTTAGTTTTCTTTGCATCTTCCTTCTTCTTCTTGTCACTAATGCTGCTGGAGTCTGGATCTTTGACGTCAGCTGCAAAATGGACGAACTTCTCTTCGTGGGGCTTTGGGGACGGCGCTGGTTGAGCTGCCTGCTCGGACTCACCACTCTTCTCGACAGGCTCGACAACAGCTCCTGGGGCAGCCTCGGCGGGCGGTGGTTCAGGGGACGGTCCGGGGTCATCTGGAGGCGCCTGCGTCTCCTGGGTTGGTGGTGTTGCTTCTTGTGCAGCTTCCAAGCTCACTCCACCTTGATCACTGGGAGTGTTGTCTTCACTGGTCGGTTCTGCGGGATTTGTTGCAGCTTCTGCGGCCTTATCCTCTGCTGGCGGTGTGTCTGTGACTGCTGGTGGATCGGAAGTAGGGGGCTCTTCCTTTGTTTCTGGCACTACGACCTCATCCTGTGCGGCGGGCGGATCTGCTGGCGGTGCCTCTTCCGTAGGCGCAGCGGGCTCAGGTTCGGGTTCATTAGATGTCTCGGGTTCAGGAGCCGGAGGGGGAGGAGGTGGTGGGGGAGCAGCCTCTTCTGCTGGAGGTGGTTCCGATGCGACTGGTTCTACAGCAGGTGATTCTGGAGCAGGTGGTGGAGGTGGTGAAGGCTCTGGTGCTTCTACAATTGGGACACCGGACGAATCTACAATCATGTCAATGAAGTAGCAATCTGGACAGCCATATAAGACATACCCGAACCCTCTTCATCTTCGTCGTCGCTTTCACTGATCACTTGTACTATACCTGGATGAAAGAATGTTGGTGCTGGAGGTGCTACTATCCGTCTATATGTGGGCTTCGCCGCTCCTCCGGGAGTTTGATATAGTTGGCCGGGACTGTATGGATTTGCCCATGGAGATATCGAGACATTTGTGAACTGGCGCATTGTTTGCAAGTGACTGGCGAAGCAGTCCTCTGGTTGCCCAAAGATGGGTTGAGTTGTACTACTTCGCTATATGCGAGACCCTTTTCGATCCATAGCTGTATATATCGAGACAAAAGACACGGCGGCGATGGGGCATACACGTGGGGTGAGGAGACAGGAATGCGGAGAGACAAATCAGAGACAGGTTTCAAGGTTGAGTATAATTGGACTTTCAACAATCGCGGCAAGACAGGCCGAGACGGCTTCGTGAGACTGGCGAAAGAGAGCAATTGTAAGGCTGGTAGTCACAGGATCGACGAGAAGACCGATCAGAGGAACAAGGCAAGAATGTGGAAATTTTGGGTTTGTGTTCGCCATGTCGCCTCATGACGAAGAGTGTCGAAATCGCACGGAACCCCTGGTTGGCAACAACCCGTACCGTTCCGCGAACAGCGACTGGATGGGATACTTTGGCGAGAGGGCATTATTGGAGCCACGTCTGAATGAAATATGAGGTGCACGGTGGGCTTTCTCCAGCCGCGGTGACCATGCAGCCATTTTCGAACTGCGTTACCGTGCTGCATGACATATGTTGTTGTATGGCCATTGGGACGAGTGGGGAGCATTCAAAATGCGTGGTCTGATTGGGCGTGTGACAGCACATCGCAACGGCCCAAACGACGGTCTTGGGGATCGCGAAAGGGAGATGCGTGGGGAACGCTGTACATGAATGATTGACGACGGCCCTCGTTCGGGCATCCCCCAGCACCTCACTCAGCACTGCTCTCGTGCGCGGGTCCCAGTAGCAGCAGCAGCAAACATTTGGGTAGCCTGAATTGAATTGGAATGGGTGAATACAGGGGCGTGCATAGCCAGATGAGGATTGGATCTTGGGTAGACATTTGGTTGATGAGGCTGTTGCCAGTAGTCAGAAAGTGGACGAGGTGGATTGGGTGGGGAGTGGTGGAGTGACGTGGTCGTCGCCAAGTCTTCGGTTAGTATGGGAGTTTGTGCTCTCTCAATCGCCCAACAGGGAAAAGATTGTGAAAAAGGATCGAAGGAACAGTTCCCCGCGAGCCGCTGGAAGCTCCAAGGAACAATCTCGCCGCGTCCGGCTCGTCCCCTGTGCAACGTTGCGCAACGTGCCACGAACTGGCCCACGGGCTAGAGGTTGATGAGATGACCTCCAGTGTACGGAGTATGCGTTCCCGTATTGGATGACCCCTCACCATCAACACTTGAGGGACCAAGTGACGAGATGTGGTCGATGTTGAGTGGAACTGCCACCACTTCTCCCCGCACGCTACCGTGTTTCCTGTTGTCGAGCGACTTGTCAGTCTTCCTGGTTTTACGGCGGCTATCGAGGTTCAGGTCATACAGATAAGCAAAAGCAAGGCAGGGCTGCAAGGGCGAATGTGGTGCCCCAACGTGTTCAATCCTCATACACTCTGGACCCCGGCCCTCGTGGCTCAATTTACCCCCTCATGCCTCGCTTCCGACTCGATTCTTGTCGCTGGTTGTTTGGCACGTTTGCTCGCTGGGGTCTCGATGCCATCATTATAGGCTGTTCAACTCGCCCCTCCCGCTGCGACTTGCTTTTGCAGGATCCATTTCCCCTTGAGCTAGCAGGCCGGCGGTCCTCATCGGGCCCTCTCATTGTCGAAGTCGTGCACTCGACAGCTCACCTTTAGCAACCACTTCTGGAACGGAGTTGTCATACTTTGCATCCCAAGTTCGTGATGACAGCACATTCTTCCCTGGAGGGACTTCGCAATGCTTCCGTAATATCTGACCCTTCTAGGTACTCCGTACGAACACTAGGTTCTGAGAGGGTCGTACAACACGTTGACGGAGTCCGATATTGCGGGTTCGATCAAGGCCGGATGGATGTAAATCTAGGGAATGGCATATTGTAGTGAGGCAATAATCTGATTAATGGTAGCCTTACTTGATCTTGAAACAGATATTGAGCGAATGCCACCAATTGCTGTCAACACCGCAGGCGCGAAACAATTCGACAATTCAACGACTGTCGTCGCTGCGTGCACACAAGCAAGTTAGATAAGGTGCTATTTTGATTTAATTTGCTCCCGTATCAGCACATCATTCTCGTGACCTTTCCTAATTCAAAAACGAAGCGCACCTAGCCCACGACTCCTCTAAAAAACTCGCGCGAGGTAACAATGCGTTAATACTTTGCATATCCTAGTGCATCTCGTGAGCAAGATATCACCACCGAAAACACAGAAATTTCCGTGGCTCTGTGGATTTGGTCGATGGTGATCGTGTGCCCGATTGCTTACGTGCTGTTAAGCGCTCCCACAGCGTCTTGTCCCCTTCCGTATCGTTCATCTCCTCGACATCTCGCCCCTTTCCCAAAGATGCAGAGATAATAGCGCGTCTATTTTTTGATAGACTCTTGACCCATGCAAATTGCTGTTCCCTGAGCGCGGCTAGCTTCGCAGTCTCCGGACTGGTTGGCACCATTACGAAGAGATTCTGAGACCTCGACATCGGCCGGTCCCGAAAGCACCAATTCTCGAATGTCATATTTGATGCAGCCTTGACTGTCGTTAACACGATCATGGGAACATTCGGTTTATTCAACAAGATGATGTCTCTTCCAGGTCTATCGGAAGGGTCGATTTCTCGCGCTGCTAGTTCGCAGCTGTAGACCATGAGCGCATTCTTGTCCCATAGCTTCTCCCATATTTTCCTGTCGTCATCTTGGTAGTTGTAGCAGTAGCAGAATAGACCGAGTATCGATGCTCGGATGTGGAGTGAATTCGCAAAGTCGTCTCGTCTACGTCTGGCTGGATTTGATCCCTCGGAACTTCGAGGTGACGACGGTTGTGTCTCCTGGGATAGTTTTGATACGGTTCTATCGCTAGATTGAAGAGGCTCCATTGTAAAGTCAGACATTGCCAAAGAACTCCAGGGCGATGCCCTGGTGGCCGATAGTCAGTGTAATCTTTGATCACTCGTGCGATCTCCAATTACTTGTATGTGTACGTGAGGGCCGGAAGAATAATGTATTGTATATGGATAGTGGACCAGAGTATGTTGCGAAGTGCTCTCACGAGCTACGAATATTCTAATGATAGTGAATGTGTGTGTATGTGAAGAGTGAAGTGTCGTCGCCTAAGCGTTATTGAGATGTCGTATGTGTCCTATTGAAGGTGCCATATTCGTTGGGTCTACCACTATTTCCCCAGGAACAAGACCAACCTGGAACAGTGAAGAGCCGTCGAACTTTCCTCGGGTCCCAACATGAGCTCAACCAGTCCGATGGGAACAACGATCCGCAGCTTCTGGATTTTCAAGACGGGAGTCGCGTTCATGAGGTCCTATACGTGAGATACACGTGCCTACCTAGAAAGGTACTCAAATAGTTCTTGCCGCAACGCATCAACAGAACAAGAATGGGAAAGCACGCGTCATCAACCACAGTACGTTCCTAAACCTTCTCACTTCATAAGAACGATTTCTCGACTCTAATTTTGCCTGTCTTTTGCCAAGTTACTCCCAATGAACCACCATGGATGCAGCCCCAGCGCCAAAGAGCACACAGCTTGCTAAACCAGGTAGGCAAGCTTCAGTCCAATGTCCTTTTGTCACTGACATCAGACAGCCGAATGGTTTCACTATTTGATCGATGCAGCTGTGGCAATTTCGCTGGAACAATCCGAAGGAATCGTAAGGATCTACGACTCTGCAAATGCAGCCAAAATGAGCATCCTAGAAACGTTGAGCTCGCTGGCCGTCAAAGGCAAATATTCATGGCCTGTCTTTGCGGCCATGGAACTGGACTTCGATCAGATCATGCGACTTCGCCGAGCTCTGGTCACTGATCTGTACCAAGCCCTTCTTGCTCAGGGTCGACTGCGTGTAGGGTCAGTGATTGACAATGATGGTGAGTTCTTGCGAGGGATTCGACCAGACTCTTTTTTAATTCCACAAAGGGCCCGAAAACCCACCTAAAAGACTCCGCTTGCGAGACGATACCGCGGTCACCAAGTGTTGTCCCACGCAGTGGGGTCTGCATCTCTACTGCCTTTGCGACACCGACTTGCACAGTGAAGTCTTTATCACCAATGCTATGAAAACACTGCTCGAGCGCTCGGGAGTCAAAGAATCTGGTGTAATAAAATCCTGCAAGACCTCTGACGAGCTAGCGGATCGCATTGTCGATGGGTTATATGAAAGCTACGGTTGGCCTTCCATGCTGGGGCTTGGATCTCTCCAAGAACAACAATCTCGGTCGGAGAAACCACATCTTGACTCGCCTCATCTTTCAGCCTCTTATGAGTTCAATGTGCCGGACAACGATGTAGCGATTAAGAGCGACAGGGAAACTACGAGAATCTCACCAAAACAGAAACCATTGCCATCATCCAACAACCACAGCAGGAATGTCAAGGGGAAAGTGCATGAATGAAGGAATGGAAAAGAATCGAACAAGGCCTTAATGTAGTAGATGATGTAACGGCGCCGCCTGCGCTACCAGATGTACTCAAGATCATGACCACACTAATCCTTCAGATTGAGTGATGTAAACATCAGTTGTTACCGTTGATTCAGGCCGGGCACGAACACAATTAAAACAAACCTCATATATCATAGCACATTTGACTCTAGTTGTCGTCATCCTATCATTTCATCGTGAAACCGTGCACTTAGAGCAACAACCAATCCACTCCTATTACACATTTTCGTCCATCTACGCCCATGTCGATATCCCAAAAAGGCGGTCGTAAGCCAACAACAGACCCAACCCGAACACGAATGCCACCGGCGCCCCTCGAGCCCCCTTTCCCCGCGAGCAACACATAGGTTGAACCATCCTCAGCTACGTTATCCAGAAGCCTACTCGCATTATAGAGCCCTACATCAGTCTCTCCTTTGACCATAGTCCAGCCGCCATTATAGCACTCTACCTCCCCATTATTCCCACTGACGCCGCCGGTTTCCGTGATGCGGAGTTTGAATTTCACGCCGTCGTCCTTGTCGCGGCTCCAAGGCATGGTATCTTTGGCTTGTGCCTGGTAGCCCGTGCTCGCCGTCTCGATGATCCACGATTGCATTGTCGAGGCCAGGCCGTTGGGAATGTACTTCTGACCCTTCCTCGACGGGGAAAATGTCTCGGGAAGCGGTGTTGCTAACTTTCGAGGCGAAGGCGGGAGACGAGGGATTAGAAACGTGGGACGAGTGGCCATTGGGTTGGCGACCGCGGTCATCCCTGCCTCAGCAACGGGTGCTGCTGGAAGTGAAAGTTTGGGAGCTGGGACGATGAATCTATGCGAAGAGGTCCCTGGGGCGAGAGACGTCGTCGGGGCGGGAGTCTGTGGTAGTCGTTGAGCATGCGAACGATCCTGGATTGGAGATGTGGGCGGTTCTTGCGACAATCTGGGCCGCTTTGTTCTTCGGACCGAGAAGAGCATTTCGATGTCTTCGTCGTTCTCGTCTTCCTCCTCGGCTTTATTCACTTCCTCTTCTGGAGCGAATGTCTGCGATTGCTCGATCGTTTGCGCGATGTCGACGTCGTCGCTAGCATTGCAGTCACTGTTCTCAAGTGACGCGGAGGGGCTTTCCTGGGATGTCTCCTCTATGCTTTCTATACGCTGCAATTTCCTCCTCGGTTGAGTGAATCGCGGCGTATGCTCGAAATGTGGTGTATCGCCATCATCGTCTTCGTCGTGGACTGCATCGTGCTTCTGCTTGCTCTTTCCGATCCGGCTGTCTATTCTGCTTCGCGACGGTGTAATTACGAAGCGCTTTGCCGGTGTGACTGTAGATAGTAGGGTTCTGGTCGGTTTTGTTCGAAGGGGTGTCTCGATTGCGCTGAGCTCCAAGGCATGGGATGGTGTCGAGGCGGTGATGCTGTGGCGGAGGCTCGATTGCGGCTTCGGACGCGACTTCTGAGGTGGCGCTGTCGATGGCGCTAAGAAGCGGTGCGGTGAGGGCTTGTACGGTGGCATTTTGGGGTTTTCATTTGAATTGGCGATCTCTGGGGTGATTCTAGGAAAATGATGGTATGAGAAGCGTTAGGTAGACCCGGGTATCATACAATTCGCACATATTTCGAAGCGGGGAGTCGTTAGAATAGAAGATACGCGATGGCGCGAAGTCACGGGTTACGACTGGCAGGGTCGAGACAACGCTAACCCCTTTGGGTATACTGTTTTTATCACATTCGACCAGGACAACACTGCACATTTGCGAATGAATGCAAACCGATGAAAGCTAAAACTAGCCCTTAAAAGTCATGTCAATTCGAAAATTTAGATGTTGCTTTTCATGTTTGGGTGTGGTCGACTAGAAGGCAAGTACAAGCTGGGGTGACCATGTCTGTCATTGGAAATTTTTGCCTGGGCGAGAAAGCTAAGAGCTTGCAGAGTTACACTTTCCTAGATCACTAACAATGTGACTTCCTTCCTGAAGGTTGTAAGCGGCAGTACGGAGTACCACTAGATACTAGATCTATAACAATATTGTGTCTATTGATGGTACGGACTACGGAGTGTATGGAGTATAGTATTCTATTGCCGGGCGTAGTGAATAATGCAGGTGGCTGGAGTTGCTTCCCAGATATCGCCTGAGTTCAGAGCAAATGATACCTTGGTCTCTCCGGGTGCCTGTTGGTATCGCAACAGTAAGCCGTAGCGTATGAGACAAATAGCAAGGAATGTCAACGCCAATAAGTGTTGCACCGAGGTATGAGTCCTAGTTGACAATGAACGTGATACGGACGTAGATAGGTAGCCTGACTCGGGATTTCCCTAAAGAAGAGGTAGCAACCATGTCTCTATAACTACGCGAGGTTATACGGGCTGAAAGACAAAGCACTGGCCACAGCCGGGGTATAGAACAGATCGAGTAGATCGAGGAAACAGCCAGCCACCAGAATCTGCTTGTCACGGTAATTAGAGCTCGCAATCAGACCACACTACCCGGATGTAGACAGTACAGCAAAGGGTACCGTTGCAACGAGAATCAGAACATCCCCGCGATGAACAAAGAGCATTCGTGATAAAGGACAGAGTCGATCGAGCGCATTATTGTTGGCCGTTAGTTAGAAGTGGGCCGCTGCCGATGGTAGTCACGGCGATGACGGCTCACTATACTCTGTACGTACATTGGGATGGCGGGAGATGTACACAATAGGGGGGCCGCACGATTGTGGATAGGCATACGGTCTCTATTTGGATACCATTGAGCGGTGGAAGCTTGCTTGATGGGATATATCGGGAAAAGCAACATGATGGGATGCAGCCAGGTGAGCCCCAACCTCCTCAAATTGGAGAAGAGAGAGGGAATGCAATTGAATCAGGCCATGTGAAACCGCGTAAGCAATACGGGGAGTAGTTGACAGGATGTTCGCAGGAGACAGCCTTGTGGATCTCTGAATTAGAAACCTGTGTGTTGCGGGATGCAAGGAACAGGATCGTCGGCGATGTGGGTAGTTTGCATGTATTCGCATGTATTTACATCTGGGGGGCGTGGAACTCGACGCGTTGATTGGTTGGATTCTGAGGTCACCGCGTGGCTGGGGGGGGAAGTGGCGCCTCCAGCCTCCAACCTCCTCGCAACCTACCACCAATAGTTAACCGATACATCAACAAACAACCACCAAGATGCGCTACAACTATCACTCCTGAGCCGCATTCTTCTCTCGACCCTTTTCGAGTCTTTCACTTCACATTCTAACGTCACTCCTTTTATTCCACCGGCCCATATCTGCGCAATCTATTTGGTCTCAATGCCCACCGTCCTTGCCGCAACCTTCGACTCGCACTGCTGCGCATAAACCAGCCAACCCCACTATTCACTACTCAGCACGGCTTGCGCGGCCTCAACAGTGCTCATACCTACCTAGGTGAATCGTATGCGAACGTCGTCGAACGAGCCCACGGTCGAACGAGCCCATCACGATATTCATAAGCCATTTTCACCATTTATTACATTCTCCCTCCGGATTCCGACGAGAGTACATGCATTGCACATCGCTCGACGCCTTCCCCTGAGAACATCACCACGAAACATCTAACGTTAGTTTGAAGGAGAGGAATCATGGCGTCGAAAGCCATGTTTGGAGGCAACCATACGGCAGGCATATTCTCTGATATGACTGTCGATGGACCCACAATAGGAACATTGGTCGCTATCATCGACCGGGCGAAGAACTTGCCTAACCGAAGGACAATGGGGAAACAGGATCCCTACTGTGCTGCACGACTAGGCAAGGAGGCCAAGAAGACCACTACAGATAAAAGAGGAGGGCAAACACCCAGGTGGTGAGTATGCCTATTTTCACGAACCATGGACAACACGGCTGACTTGAACCAGGGACCAAGAAATGCGATTCACCGTACACGATTCCCCGGACTACCACCAGCTCAAGGTGTCCGTATTCAATGACGATAAGAAGACCGAGTTGATTGGCGAGACATGGGTCAGTCTTGATGGGGTTTTGACACAGGGCGGCGGTCAGAGTGACTCCTGGCATGGTCTTAATTGCAAGGGCAAATATGCAGGCGAGATCCGCATCGAACTCACCTTCTACGACACCCGTCCTAAAGCGGAGAAGCCCGTAGTCGAGAGAAGGAGAGAGAGCACACGTCCAGACGGACCGAGTCCTGCAGTCGGTGGACCTCGAGACAGGGAACACACGCCCGTCAAACGAAGACCTTTACCCTCGGACCCGACCGCTGCATCGCCGTCTCCAGTCAACACGCCAGAGCACCGCGGTCTTTCAAGTCAACAGAGCGGACCTCGCCCTATGCAACCTCGACAGGCTGAGCACACACCCACACATCAACGGCGAAGCCATCATCATGACAGTCAGCCTCAGCGGCGGCCAGTTCCAGATGCATCGCCCTTGGCAGGTGGTGCACCGATGTCGAGTCACAACACCCCTCAGCATCGAATTACACCTACGGCCCAGCAGCCTGCGTCTAGTTCAAATACGCCACAATATTCACAGGAAGGGTTCGATATGTCGTATACTGCACCGAAGCCATACGAAGTCCAACCAATTGAGCCAGCGCCTCATAACCCTCAGTCATTCGAGAACCGGCCTTCGTCGCATCACGACCTGCGCTCCTCTCGTGGCTTCTCCCGAAGTCAAGTGGAATTACCACATTCCCACTCGGCCCCCATCGTGCCTACACAGCATGCCTACGAGCCAGTGTACGAACCTACCTACGAAAATACTTATGAACCTGAACCTTCTCCTCCAGCGGGCCAATTCTCGAATTCCTATAGCGAGCGATCCCCTCTTCACGAACAACGCTACATTGAAGATTCGATGCAAATGCAGACCACGCGTCAGGATCCATCTTTCCAAGTGCAGCCCCTCAGGACAAGTCGAAGTCATGATCTTAGTTCATCTTACGATCTTCAGCAGCCATCTAATGATTACGACGACCATCACAACACGTATGATCCCTATTCTGGACACGGTCGATCCCTCAACATGATGCAGCCCACTGTCCAGGACGAAGACGAAGTTCCTCCGCCACCCCCAGTGCACAGGAGTAATGCAGCTACAGTGCCGCAGCCGGCTTCCCCACCCGCTTACCACAACGATGCCCCTGCACCACTCAACATCAACCGGTACCGTGAAGAAGCACCGCAGCAATCATATGAATCACAGCAATCATACGAATCATATGATTCTCCTGCCCAGCCATATGAAGCGAATGAGTATGCCCTCGTCCCGCACTCAGACCGTCGCTACACGCATCCAAGACCCGTAGCTCAACCCGTGAGTCGTCCGGTCTCGCGCGATGCAATGGTTCCGTCTCCTCTCCGTCAAGAAACCTCTGCACTCCCTTCTAGCTTGGTCCCCGGCTATGACTCTACTCGTGACGATAGTCAAGCTCTCGTATGGACGGGTAACAGCGAGTCGAGAGCTTACCAGCAGCAACAGTTGCCGGCGTACGAGACTCCACCAAGGCTACGACAATACTCAGAGCCAGACTATCGCACACCTCCGCAGTACGAGACTCCATCACGTCCTCAAGGTTTAGAGCATCATCACTCAATGGCGTCCACCGATGCGCTGGAGTACTATCCCCACCCCCCACCACAGGAACCACGCCATACTTCGCCAGTACACGACCCTCCTCCGCTTATCAAGCCAAGGGCTGTGAGCCCTGGCGATACCCGTGGCTATGCGGATAGTCGAACTTCTAGAGCTCCCGCGCGTAGTATGCCAACGCGTAAATCTGTCTCGCCACGTCCACCACCAACCACGACTGATTCTGGAGAGCGAAGACTCTCGGGCGTACCATTCAACCCAGACAGCTTCGACATACTCAACCCAGCCGCTGCCAAGACGAGTCCCGCGCCTAATTCGAGCGGCGGAGTGAATCGGCGAGGCAGCAACATCGATATCAATGAGAAGGGCCAAGTAGTGACCTTCAGTGGACGTGTGATTGATGCATCGGATCATTTGCCTCTCGACAGTTGGGCACCAGAACCCGAGCCTAAGGGGCCGCAAAAGGAAAGGCCATCAAGGGACCGACCGACGCTGAACGGGGCGCGAGATATTGAGGGAGCAATGATGCGAGAGCGCGACTATCGAAGAGACCGTGTTGAAAGGGAACGAATCAGGAATGCTGTCAATGATGCTGCCGCGAGCGAAACGCCTGCCATTAGCAATGCGCTGACGACCTACCGAGGGCACTCCTACAGCAACAGCAACAGCAATAATCATACCCCGACACACTCAAACGCGCTCGTCCTCTCCGACCACAGCTCGACCCCACCCGGCTCAGGCGGACGAAACAGACTGCAAAAACGCAGTCCCCGACCCGTATCCAACTACGGCCCGATGGACTCGTCGCCCTCCAACATCCCCATGCCGAGCTCCCACGTCCTGCGCGAGCGGGAGAACCCACGCGGCTACGGCAGCAGCCCCAACTACGGCGGAGGCAACAGGCACTCGATCGCGGCGCCCCCCATCCCCGCAAAGATACCCCTGGACGGAGGCATGCAGAACGAAGACATGAGCGCCCTGAGCCTCGAACTACAATCCATCGACATCGGACCTGGCAGCGGCGGACGATCACGTGGCAACGCCGCCAGGCCAAGGTACGCAGGGTATTAACGAGATGATTTTTCTTTGTTCCTTTCTTCCCATCTTTCTTTCTTTCTTTCAGGAAATACGTTCTTAAAAGACGCCCGATTTTATGCCATAGGGACATGGGTGGATATCCGGGGCGCAATTGTATGAATACACGGATGGACGGCACCGGTTTCGGAAATCGGTACGGATTGGATGGTTAAAGGATGGCGTTTTGAGCTGCTACTGGGAGGCAACCAACGCCCTTACAACAATGATTCAGTGAGGTGTGGCATTAGGGTAACTTTACATCAACATTACATCAAAGTATGTTTTTCTGCACGGCGGCGACCTGCAACAACAACAACACGCACACCCACACCCACACCCACCGAGATAGAGAGAGAGCAATCCAACTCAATGCAATAACTACCTAACCTAACCTGTCCTAATATTTCCCCCGTTGCCAATAATGCTGTGCGCGTGTGTGTGTATGTGTGTATGTGTACAAAGTGGGAGTTGGGGGTGAAGGTTAGGCACTTTCCCTTCCCTTCCCTTCCCTTCCCTCTGTTCCTTCCTTCCTGCTTGCTCGTCTCGATATTGAAAAATAAACATTGACACCCCCCTCCTCCCTCACCTCCAATTCGAAACGCCGCTGGATATCGAACGATGATTTCACATCTCGGTTTCAGTCCTGGGAAAACAATCGTTGATCGTAGGGTAGCAATCGAGGGGGTATTTTTTCATTTTTCATTGATCAAGTGAGTGAGTGAGTGAGTGAGTGAGTGAGTGAGTGAGTGAGTGAGTGAGTGAGTGTGGTCGTGTGGTCGTCAAGAGTGAAGAAGCGCACGGTGCGTCTCAGCTCGTCGTACCGATCCCCGTGGCGAAATAGAGGCATCGCCGTTTTGTTGTGTGTTTACTGGGTATAGGTGCCCCCGCTAGTTAGTATCTCGTAAGTCCGGTGAGGCGTATGGAGAGTTGCGAATGGGGGGGAGGGGGGCAATTCGCGTGCGTTGCGTGTATGAGGAGGTATGTGCATCTGTAAAGTATGATCGCTGTATTCCGCCGGGGAAGGAACGATTTCTCTGAAAGCTGCTGCTATGGTACGCCGCGAGGTGATAGTCGAGAGAGTGCATGATCTCACTATTCGGGAGAAGGTACCCAAGAAAAAGAGAGGATTTCAATCTACCAAGAGAGCTTGCTTATACAACACGTCGACGATGACCCTAGAATGAACGGCCGAACCAGACATGGTCATCGTCACCCATCAAAACGTACGTACGAAACGTCCCAGACGCCTTTCTTGCCCTTTTGCACACAGAAAATAAGTGGAAAAAAATATGAAGTCCTTCCCACATGTTGTCATAAACATCCGGAGGAATGGTATCTCCCACCCTCCATCCAAAACATCGGCCACGGGGTATAGGCTAGTATAACCTCTTTCGCGTCATAAAAATACGATTTCCACAAACGTTGGTGGCCACCTTCCTGGGCCATGACGGAGAACGCCAAGTGGCCTGGCCGCTGGACAACGCGCGCATGGTTGATGTCATCTCTCCGTGCGTGAACCAATATCCGCCGAATCGATTCTATCTCATGGTGCGAGCATCGAGGCCTTGCAGGTCGCGCTCGAGATCACTTCCTTGCCAGCCTCCCTGCTGCATGACTGCCTCATGGGGTCGTGGGTCCTCGTAGCCGGTGCGGTCGTAGTTGTTGGGAATGGGGACGGCTTGACCGGGCTGTTGCTGGCCTGCTGCCGACTGGCCAGGCTGCTGGCGGACATGCTGGCGGAAGCGGTTCACCTCGGCAAGGATCATCTTCTTCATCTCAGCAATGTCCTCGACGACTTCGAACTGGAAGTCAAAAGTGGTGGGGCAGGATGGCTCGTCCGAGGCGTCGTGCCAAATGTGGAGGTAGCGATGCTCGAGGGCATCTTCCACCGAAATGCGGCTTGAGGGGTCGAAGGCGAGCATAAGGTCGAGGAGATCGAGGGCGTCTGGGTTCGCCTGGCGGAAGAGAGAGGAGAAGGGAATCTTCTGCATGTATGGGAGATTGCGAACGTAGTCCTGCGCACGAGGCGAGCCAATGCGAGAAAGCGTCTCCTCATTGGGGGTTCCCAAGTAGTGCAAGATCTGGTTGAGCTGATCCACGTAATCCCGCCCCTTGAAGAAGGGCTTGCCTCCGAGCAGTTCGGCAAGAATGCAACCCACCGACCAGACATCGACTACGGGTGGTCAGTCAACATGCCCCATCTCAGAAGGAAACCTTTAGGTAGAGGAGGCGGGGTGAACATACTGGCCTTGGTGTAGCTCTGGAAGCTCAACATGATCTCTGGCGCACGGTACCATCTGGTTGCGACATACTCGGTCATGTATCCAGCATTCTCTTCGGGGTCCATGGAGAAGCCTCTGGCAAGACCGAAATCGCAAATCTTGAGCTCGCAGTCGGCGTTGACCAGCAAGTTACCGGGCTTCAAGTCTCGGTGGAGCACATTGGCGGAGTGGATGTACTTTAGACCGCAAAGGATCTGGTAAATGAACGACTGGAAATGCGCATCAGTGAGGGGCTGGCCGGATCGGATAATGGCTGCCAAGTCGCATTCCATGAGTTCTAGGGGTGATCAGCTGGGTCCAAGAGATCACCGATGCAAGACGTGTTGTATCGTACCCTCGTAAAGATAGCACTCGTTGAAGTTCTCGGGGCGGGGGATATCCATATCGTAGAGGCAAGTGATCTGTACACGATCTGTTAACGTGTGGTTTTCGAAGGAGCGGGGCAGGGCAGCCGTACGTTTCGGTGACCTGCAATCAACACATGTCAGCGAATTCTCCGCAATGAGGGCCAGCTCAGGCATACCTCTGAAATGTTGCAAAAGCTTGATCTCGCGCAGGGCACGCTTTGCCAAAATCTTCTTGCTAAAAACATTGGTGACCTTTTTTATGGCGACGCCTTCGCCGGTCTGTGTGTTGGTTGCGGCACTGTTGGAAGAGGCGGGGATCAGTAGGAGTAGGGCTGAGAGGGGCGACGGTGGCCTACCAAACGATTCCGTAGGCTCCTTGACCCTATTTCGATAGCCTTGTCAGTACATTTCCTTGGATATGAGGGCGCTTGCGTGCAGAGGGGTATGTAACGCCATTGATGCCGTGGAGGGTGACGTAGGGGTGGGTTGCGGGTTGGTGGTTGGCGGGGTGCGGCGAGCAAGGCAGTGAACGTACCAGTTCCTTTGTGACATTGTAGCGGTCGTCGACGATGAACTCCTGGGAAAAGACCTTGAAGACTTTCCTATTGTCGGCCATGGTGGAGAGGGATTTAAAACGAAGGTTGCGCAGCTGGCGGGCGGGCGTGTGTGGGGTGAGGGCGAAGGTAACGATGGATGGCGGAGCAGCACTGGCGGGGTGCGGATATGAGAGCACAGCTGAAACAAAGAGAGTGAGGGAGGGGGGTGGGATGGAATGGGATGCGGTTGCTGAAAGAGCAGCGGGGTGGGATGGATGAGTTAAGTATATATGAGGGTGAGGATATGGATATGGAGGGGGGGAGGCGAGAGTGTCAGAAGTGAAAGGAAGAGAAGAGTGAGGGTTGGAAGAAATAATGTACGGGAGTAATAGTTATTATGTTAGGTAGGTAGCTGATCTGATGGTGGTTACAGTGTACCGTAATGGTTGTCTTGTGTTTTTTGGCGCCGGGGGAATGTTGGATGTATGGAAGGAGGTAGGCGTGTTCACGTTCACCTATGGGGTATAGTCATTATGGTAGGGACCGTGGTGGGTACTTACCGAGTAACTACTGGTAGTGGGAGGCGTAGGTCTGCTCCTTGTGCCTGCCTGTGCCTGTGCCTGTGCCTGCCAGCTGCTCCTGCCAACTACCAGTTGCCAACTAGTTACCTGCTCCTTCCTGCCTTGTGACCTATACCTGGGCGGCTCTTCAAACAAAATACAAGACTGGGGGGCGGAACCGAAAGGGGAAGGAGCGCCCCAGGAGTTTGTAACTATAAGCGGCGTGAGGATAGGCACCGAGTACAGCGCCAACACTACTCCGTATATTAAATAAAGCCACGATGACGAAAACGTTGAGGGGATGCAGGCACGTTTCTGTTGCAACAACCGCCGTCGTTGTTGTGGTGGTGGTACGCAGAAGATGTTGCTTGAAGAAGTGAAGTGGCTGAAGGAAGGAGGGGAGCTGTATTACTTCGTTAGTAAGGCAGATAGTGGCGGCGCATCTCAGCACCCAGGTAACTAGGCTTTTGGTAGTGAATAGATCTACCAAGTACTATGCTCTATAATATTAATCGAATAATGGTTAATAGCATACGAGAGGCGCACCAAGGAACTGCAAGCTTACTCGGACTAGAGTGGCACCGTGGGTAGTGTGATAGTGTGATAGTGTATTCTGCCTTGTCTGCCTTTCTCACCCTTCTCTTTTCTTTCCCTTGATTACTCCGCTATTATCCACAAAGACCAACATCATTCACAAGATGACCCGGAATGAAAGAGGACTCAGGAGTGTCAGATACCTTTTGTCCTGTTGCTGACCCCCGCCATCACCGAGTATTGCCTTCTCATCGGTCGCGTTCCGGTTGCTTGATCATGCCCTATACCATCTATCATGCCATGGCACCTCCTCAGTATTCTCCCCAGTATAGAATGGAAGGCCGCCAGACCTCCCATCTGGAGTCATCTCAATTGGCTCGATTTTTTTTTCAACATCGATGCCAATCCTCGTCCTCCCAGCAACAGATGTCCCTTTAAAGAGCCCCAGTCTGAACCGCAAGTTGCTCAGCTTTGGAAACTTTCCACTCGCGTCAGGACCGTAACTGACTCGCTCTATGATGGAAGAGTCGTAAATCATACTCATAACGTTGGCTGGATACGCGACATTCAGAGGGGTCCGTCGCTTGTCCGTGGGCCAGACGAAGATAACAGAAACGCCTACTAGAATAATCACGCCGATCCCGAAGGCCAATGGAGTCTTTTGCACTGTTGCAATAAACTGCCATGGCTTTGCAAGTGTCGTCGGTGGCGGAATGCCCAGGTCTGCGGTCGACTGCAAGAGAAATGTCGACCTACCATCGCTTCCTCCTTGACCCAACCCCGCCATTATCGCGAAGACAGATCCAAAGGAGATGTTTGCCCCTCGGGCCAAAATGCTCTCGTTGAACAGGCTATCGCTGGATTTGTCGATGCTCAGATATGTCAGTATGCTCATGAAGTCGAGGTACGTCCCTCCTGTGACTACTCGAACATCGCCAGCCATGGTGTCATTCATGACACTGGAAGCATAATCGGAAAAGCGCTGCCCCGAATCGCTCTTCCAGTGATCATACTTTAAGGCTGTACGATTCTGGAGTTCTCGAATCGTGGTCTCGCCACCTTTCCTCGTCCCGTCGCCGCTGAAAGTCAACTTCGCATAATCGAGGTAGAATCTCGGTGTGCAAATAAGAGACACCGCAGTTGACTCTTCCGCGATGCTCTGATCACCAACAGTGGATGCCGTTTGGGGTGTCCCATTCTGCCCATATAGCCACCAGCGGCCCGTATCCTTTTTCGCGAGACCAGGACAGCTGGTTTCGTCCAGATACCTCCAGGTCATGCATCGCTCGAGGCCTTGCCCAGAATTGTCCGTGGTATTTTCTGTGCCTGGTAAGGCGCAAGCGCCGATCCAGGATGCGCCTGAGCAGACACCCTCTTGAATGATCGCCTCCCAGCCGGAGCCAGTGTCGAGTCTTGTAGAGTGGGTGGAAATGGACACACAACTCAACTCGGATGACAATCCTAGTTGTTCAGACAGATCGCTGGAATTCAAGGCAACTGCTGGGAAGAGCGTGTTCCCAGACAACCACCCGGATGTTCTGGGGTATCCGGAGAGACTGCGAGCCAGGGCATGGTTACGAGCTGTCATCCCAAAGGCTTTGGTATGGTTGCCCAAGAAGATATCCTCCCTGAATGTCTGTAGGTAGTTCATCGGTCTGGAGAATCTCGAGGGTTGATAGGTTGAGATGAGAATTCCACCAGCACCAACAGCCGCCACTCGGATGAGGGTGTTGACGAAAGTAACATACGAGAGCCTGAAATGCCGGTTTCGAAGGGCCTGGAGGGTCGCTATTACATGATAATTGTGCATGTAGTCGAGCAGGACTGTTTCCTGTCCAGTATCTCCTGTCGCTAGGGAAAGGTACGGTTGTGTCCGTCGATAGTACTGGTCAATCCAGGCCCACCATAGTACCGTCAAACTCAGACTGCAGGCAGTAATCATATTGAAAATCATTCTGTGCAGAAATTTACCGATTCCCGACAGCGCGGCACGGTACCACACGTCGCTGCTCTCGGGCCATTGCGGCCACAGTTGAAATGGCATGTGGCCGGAGAGGATCACGTTGTGATACTTAATGACTAAGACCAATAGTATCAGGGCGAGGACAAAGACAACCAAAAAAAACCCTTTCATAATATCTGCATTGCCGTAGCGAAGTTCTTTTAGCAGGGGGCTATCTTTATCCACACTCGCGAGCGGATCAAGACCGGGATGGGAGCGGTCGTCTCGCGAAGTCAGTGTTCGTTGGTGTTTCTGTTTTTCGAGCTGAATGAGAGCCCTAGTATGTCCCTTGCCCTCATCGTCATCAGGGCGTGAGTTACGCAGCGTAAGGACCGCCAACGCAATTGTTTTCCTAATGGACTTTTTGGCCTTTTCGCGTTCCAAAGCATCCGTCCCTTCGAAAAGCGAACGGACATTCTGTCTCTGAAAATGATACGCAACCCCGGCGATCGATGTTGGAGAGCAACACAGTCCTGACTTCCAGGACGGTTTGAATAGGTCAGAAAAAGTCAACTTGATCCCCATCGTACGCCACAAATTCAAATAGATCATGATGAATAATCCTATGTAGGAGACGATAATCCAGATGAGATCGAGGAATGACAATCGCCAAGCTGGGACAGCCTTCTTGACAGTTCCACCAACGTCTCTCCAGACGTTAGAGTCTGCAAAAGGAGTGAGCATGGCAATCGTTGCAGCGCTGAGAAAGCCCCACAAGTCTCCAGCAATCAAGAACGTCTTGCAAGCTTGATCATTGGTCCAGGACATTGGCGCCGTTCCCAAGGGCTGACGGAAATTCTTACACGTAAAATTGACTATATCGAGCAGGAACGGATCAAATTTCGTATGTGGGAGGGGTTGCCCCCAGAAGGACATGGACCAGAGTGGTGATGACATGCTGTACATGAATCCCGTTTCGAGAAGGTTGTTCTCAATGGGTACTCGGACAGCGTCAATGAGGGCCTGGTCTTCAGGCACTCTTAGTCGAGTACCGTTTCCTGGATATATGTTCGCTGATTGCTCAGATTGCTCAGATTGCTCATAGGGCCGAGAATCATAAGTGACCTGGTCCTGCAGCGAGTAATATATCGGGACGCAACTCAGTGCCCCCCATCCCGGTGTGGTCTGATCGATCTGAACATCCTTCGCAGTTCTGTCCACGAGCGGCCCGGAGACGATGTATTGTTTATGGATAGGGCAATATACCCCGCGGGATGTGTCAAACGACGATCTTTCGTCCGTCGCCGGAAGCCAAAGCGCAAAGACTCCACTGTGGAGTATTGGGTTATCCGGCTGAGGGGGCAAGGCTCCCGACATGTCGGACCATTCCCGCCGCAGGATGCAGCCGTCGCGATCCTCCAGGGTGAGGGTAACGTCCGATGCGGTTCGAATCGCGCTTGTGTGCTCCACCTCCGAGGCACTTACGGTGATGATGTCAATCTGAGAGCAGTTCAAGTAGGAATACAAAGCAGATGTATCGACCGTATAGGTAGCTTCGTTTTGGCCGGTAGCTGCGTTCAATGAATTGGTGTCTCCAGGTCGAGTGAACGGCATTATGGCGGCCCAGGACGGATCCGTCCAAGAGATCTTGTCCTTATCTTTTTCTTTCAGCATCTTGGACACCCATTTGAGCCCGCCCGTATTTTCTCCTTGGAAGATAGCCTCCATCGCCATTCGTGGAAAGAGACTGCTTAAAGAGATCTTGGGTATGGCATCCAGACCAAGGTTACGGAAAGTTGAAGCCGATTTCACTTCAACCATGGTCGAGTCATCGAACGCGGCCATCTGGACGGGGACCAGCACCAGCATAGAGTAAATGGCAAGCGTCGCGAAAGGCCTCGTCAGAAGCGCTTTTATGCTCGACCACAGAGTAGGCTCGGTCAGGCGAGCATCGAACATGTTACGCAGGCGGCTGCCGGGGGCCGTAGTCAATGCCACGTACGGAAGGATCGATAGAAAGTCAGCCGCAATGCAGGACATCATTTCAGTCACGCTGAAGGCAAGGAAAGCCGGGACATAGCGAAATGCCCACGCGTAATACCCGTTCGTCGTCGTGATGTACCCGTTCGCGTATGTCATGGCGCAAAGGGCGCCGTAAAGGGCCAGATATAAGAGAACGACAACTAGCAAAACGATCGTTGAGATCGTCTTCAGAGTCCATGGTCTCCAATCTGGTAGATCTGGAGCAGGTACTGGCTTGACTTCATTGGGGTCGTTGCGCTTTTCGCCCTTTTTCCGGTCGACCTTCGGGCTGCATGTTGGGCATTCTCTCACATCATCGTGCACCCGTTCCTCGCGGCTCTTATGCATCTTACCCGAAGGTCTCTTAAGTGTTCCGGGTGGAACAATCTGGTCTGAGGTTGACTGTTCACTGTAGAGATATATGATTATATTCTCAATCCAGTGGCGGTCGCATTGCTCGTACAAGTTCTGGCAACGTCTCCATAATGATTCAAACTTGTTTACGAAGATGCATTCCAAAATCGTATGTTCGATGCGGTCCGGTTTTATGTCCTCATGGAGTGTAAGTGTCCCACCCTCTTCGATGATCGCCCGGTAGTATTTTCGTTCTGGTAATTCAAATTCAAGAAAGACCGCTGGCCTGTGTCGAAAGTATGCGTACCTCAATTTCAGCATTTCCAATGATTTCAACAAATGCAAAAGAAAATGCAAAGAAATGTAAAAGAAAATGCGAAGAAATGCGAAGAGCCGATCGTATGGTTTCCAAGAGCTCCTCGTAGAGCTATTGATGTAGGTTGGAAGAGGTAGGTTCCGAGAGAAGATTTTACATCTTCTAATATCAATGCTGCCTGAAACTAAGTCGTATAAGGAGCAGCACGGCTTCTGTCGGAAATATAGAGGTTCTACTAGTCACAATGTCTTGCATATAGTTGTGTTCATCGTTATCTATATCAAAGTAGCCCTACTGTCTGGCTGTTGGTGCATATCATCCTTACCAATCAACATCCCTCTCTATCTCTCTCTACGTATCCTTCGCCCCTTACCTCATCCATCCACTTTGACACGAAAAGGAAGACAAGTGCCGAGACAGGAGGAAAGGATCTGGACAATCACATATACACCACGGGCACACACACATAAACGCACGAGCGAAGAAGCACAGGACCGACTTCTCGCCTTTCCCTTTTCTGCAGCCTCTCTTTTCGCCTCCACTAGTCACTCGCGCTCCTTCAGTGGGAAAAAGTCAGACAGGCAGGCAGGCAAGGGCCCGATGGCTCTTGTTCTCTCACCGCATCTTTCCTCCCTCCAGTAGAAATGGAAGCAATTGTAAAATTCGAAAAAGAGCAACAGAAAAAGAAGCCTCTTGATAGGTAAACGTCCCAATCTAGCCCTGGCTGTGCTCTGCATCACACAAGCTGGCATCCCGGTACATCAGAGACACATGCGCACACATACATATATCGGACTACCTGTCACTAAATATCCCTGCCGTTTCGTTTGCCCACGGCTACACACCAATCCTGATCTAACTCCCCGCGTGAAAGGATCCTTGTTTTTCCGCGGGGGTGCAGGGGAGGATGGGGAGTTACCAAACCGTCAGGTATCCGTAGAGGGAGGTTTGGAGCAGAGGGAGGTGGTAACCTCCGGGAGCAATTGACAGAGAGAGAAGATTTGATAGTCAATTGGAAGGCAGCAATGGTACGGGAAAGCATGAATAAATAAATGAAGGCAACGATCAGAGCAATGGGGAAGAACGATTCAGTGGACCAGGTAAGTTCAGTAGACACTGGCAATGCTGTAGATTCCAACGCATTACCCGTTGGGACAGACCATCGGTAGGACTAATAGATAGAGATCGGAGCTTGACAGAAGGGGAAACAGATGAGGCTGAGAGACAAGACAGCAATAGTCCAGAAGTGGCATAAGCGAAATGAGATCCAGGAAGTTGGAAAAGAAAGGATAGGCGAAGGGGAGCACGGAGATTTTGGGCCCTGTGAGGCCTTTCCCAAAGCCACAGCACTGGCAAAGTATGGGCGGAAAGATTGACGTGAGGATTTTGTCAAAGGATTGCTTGATTTCGATGTGAAAGACAGGATCATTGGTTTACCTGGAATTATTGAGAATTATATTTAGCAAGCGAACGTAGCTGCATGCTCGTACAAAGACAGGGATTCCTTTATCGACCTGTGAGGATCGACGATGAAGTGTGCAAGAAACGTTGCGTCACATGGGCACGGTAGTCTGTTATTGCATGTCAAAAGGCTTGATTACCTAGATAGAGGGACCTATTTGCACAAAGCGGCCAATAATGGCGTTCGAAGATCACGTGAACGATCACTTCTCTACACACACTCGTGCTTCAATCTCATTGACATTTCCACACGCACTGTGGACGATATACTTCGATGTTGAATGTAATCACGTCAATCAGCCACACCGATTCTTCCCAAAGTAGCCGGAAGTACTTGTAACTGTGAAATAAAGCCCTTACGTAGAATGAATGCAATATGTATCACAAGCACAGATTTTATGGATCGCTGTATATGATACGAGACCGAAGGACAACGATCTAGCTAGATTAACTTGAAAGGAACAATAGTAAAGCTACACCTCTCGCATTATGACCCCCGCACATCATGCCCAGGATGGTAATCGTCAGAGACTAGAAGACCAGAGGAGTAAGGCATTTGTTATTGTACTTGCGGGCCATGATCATCTTTAATTCGGCTACGCGCCTGCATCAAAGGATGCTTTGTACCTCGATAAGCGCGGCAGCGATCAGCACAACTGTGCAATTCACTTCGTGATCATCATTGAGAGGACTAAAATTAGTTGTTCTTGGTGGCAGTGACCATCGCCATCCCGTCTCATTCGTTATCAATTCTCTATATTTATAGCCTCTTGAACAACCGGTCCAAAAGCCTATGAACTAACATCTTTTGTGGTGTCTGATGAGCGGTGCATCCCGCATCGTGGAGCGAGTTCGTGGTACTTGATCACCAAAATGAAATATAAGTAGTGACTTCCCACCCCGGACTTCCTTCTGCCATTGAAATACAATTTTATAGCCCTACCTAAGCAGCATACATTATAGGCTGCTTTCGAGTTGCAGTAATTATGGATTACGACACGACGCTTTTTCCATATTACGCAAATTGTGATTTTGAACCGTTCATCCCCACGGCAGAACAGATCGATGCGTACCTTGATTCGAAGGATCCCCTGCTCAACAGGCCGGATTTTGGCATACGCGAAAGGTCCTGGCGCATGGGGCCATACTTGATTACAGTCGAGCCTTATGAAAGAATATTCCAGGTAATAGTCACCTTAAGTCGCTAGGAAGCCTTTCCTAAAATTTGATTAGGAAGCCGAGAATCTCCTCTATCTTGAGAGGAATTCCACAGTTAGGACCCCAAAGCTCTATGCAGCATTCAAGAAGGAAAGGGTAGATCCTATGTACTCACGCGCAAACACGGGAGATACTTATGACCCGTTTGAAGATGAATCATCACATCGAGTAATGAACTACTACATGGTTATGGAATACTTAGATGGATTTAAGTGCGGTTACTTGACGTTAGATGAAATCTCAGCAGCAGAGGAGCGTTCAGGAAGTCAGCTCCGAGAGCGATTGGGAACGAAGATTGGCGAGCTGTTAGGAGAGCAACTTCGGAAGTTGCGCAGCGTCCCTCCTGAAAATCCCAATCATTATGGCCGTATTAATGGCCGAAGATACATGGAAGCGCCACCATTGTTCTATACGGACCTCTCTCGCGGTCCGTTCAAGTACGAACAACTAGTAAAACGTCTTTTCGACCATGCGCATAATAGCAACGAACACTCGGAACCCGGATTTTTTACAATTCTAGAAGATAAGCTTTTAGAAATCGCAAGTTCACAAGAAGCAGCACCTGTGCTCACGACTATGTCTTGCACACCCGCAGACTTCGCTGTACGGCTCACTAGAGACAAGAACAATGAGCCTATAGATGTAGAGGAAGTGGTTTTGATCAAATGGAACCACTTAGCATGGATGCCTCCCTGGTATGAGCCTGGAGGGATGTATCACAAGACGCAAGATCTGAGTGACTTGGTGGCCAGTTCCGCGATGGAAAGAATGGGCAAAGCCAACATGTTTACCGCAGCTTGGTTTGCAGAATTCAGACGGTACGTCACATTCATACATTGTCTTCTTTAAGCCATTCGAAAGGCTTTGTCTGTTTAGGAAGTCAAATGAGGCTTGCGGACTTTCCACATTACGATACTGGTAGGCTCGTCTTCATGTGCATATAAAGCTTAAACCTGAGCCTTGTCTGCACCCATGGGAGCGGGTGTAACACCGTGAGTAGCCACTCAAAGCTTGCTAGGTTGAGTTACTGTCTGATTTTACTGTCTGATTTTACTGTCTGATTTTACTGTCTGATTTTACTGTCTGATTTTACTGTTTGATTTTACTGTTTGAATTTATGT